GAACAAAACCAGCTCCGGATCTACCAGTCGGAGTTTGCCGGTGCCCCCCAGCCCGCTGCAAGCAGATGTGAGCCCAAGTGGGCTCTGCCTGGCCCCTGCCCATCGGAGAGCTGCCCGCAGGCTGGACATTCCCTGTGCCACGCTCCCGGGGAGGCATCCGGCTGCTCTGGCGCTGGCCGATGAGCCATGGTGGTGCGGAGGCCTCACAGTGATGCCCATCCTGCTGTCCCTGTGGGCAGCTGGTGCCCACCCGGCTCCCTTCTCCGCAGGGAGATGCTTCTGGCATTTCGTGACACGGCGGGTTTCCAACCCAAACTCAGGCACCATCACCGAGCGCTCGCATCTGGATGCACACGCCGTGTGCTGAACCAGCGGAGCCCGGGGACAGCAACGCGGACCCAGCCCCCACCACGTCTCTGTACGGCTAAAAGAACCGGCTCAAGCCGCGGGGACGGCGTCTGGCCACGTGCTGTCCCCATCTGTAGGGTACAGCACCCCGTTTATACAGCGACGCACCACACCAGCGCCTCACACAGACTTTTATTATTCACTGAAACGCCACAAATCTCGAAGGACTCCCTGCTTGGCAACGCAGCCGCCAGCCCCGACACGAGGCGTCACCTCCCGCAGTCCCCACCTGCAGCCCGTGTACCTCTGGAAGCCGGGCTGTTCTGGAGGCGCGGGACACTGCAGCAGGTTTCACCGCTGCTCTCGGGGGAAGGTTTTCATCCTCTGAGTGAAAGGCACACAAATCAGGGGCCAAACCATCCTTCTGCCACGCAACGGCTGGTTTTCGGCGTGGTGCCTGCATAGGGTGACAGCTTCTCCCCGCTCCGAGCGCGGCGTGCACTTGGTGCCTGTTGGTTTCCCAGTTGCCAGCCTCGCTTCCCCACGGGTACGGGGCACACGGGCTCCAGAACAGGCCGTGGGTAAGGCCTCGCAGGGTGGTTTGGAGAGAAATTTGCTTGTCAGATGTAGGTTCCTGCGGCGGCTCCGGGCACGAGGGCACGGGGTCTTCCACACGTGCTGCTAAATGCACAAACAGGCCTGGCAGGCAAAGCCAAAAAGTGAGCACGGACCTCCCCCCGGCCAGACCAAGCCACAGTCGTGTAAGGGAGCAGCACGGTTGAAGTGAGAGGGAGCAAGACAACCAGGGAAGGCTGCAAGACGTCACACGCCGTGCAGAGGGAGGCAGCGAGGCCGGGCAGCCCACCGTCACCTCGTCTCCTTTTCCATTCTCTCAAGGAAACTGTTCCCCCGGCTCTGTTTGGCACAAACACTGGCTCAGGACACACCTTTGGATGCCACTGAATTGGGCAAGGACATTTGGCAATAGGGCTGCGCTCAAGGCCCCAGCTCCGCTGCTAGCTGGCGAATTTTGTAGGAGATGAGAGGAGAAACGTGCTGTGCTTTCAGAAATACATCAGGGGAAACCTTCGTCAGAGATGGGGCTCGGCAGACGTCACCGCCACACATCCTTTTAATTTTGGGATGGGGAAGAGGGCGCTGCCAGCACCAGCTGAAGAGCCTAAAGCCTGCTTAGAGTGCATGAGCCATCGCCCACAGAGAGGCAAGGAGAGTAAACACGCAGTAATTGGGATGAGCCAAAGGAAACACATCGGGAAACATCCTGGGAACAACAGACTCCGTAAACAAGTGTCTGAAGTCTGCAGTTGTCAGCATAAAGAAACAGCATTGCTGTAACGTCCCGAAGAAGTAAACTTTGAAAGGTGTCTGTGAAACACCCTGACTGCAGAAAAGCAGTGCTGCAGGACCTGGGGCTGCACACTTTCTGCACAAACGGCGAAGACATCGGGCCAGCCAGTGTACGATATAAAAAAAAGGCGAGAGACAAGACCTTAGGGTGACCAGTTCTTCCTCGCCGACACCTTCCCTGCAGCCCCAACAGGCCGCAGTTTTATTTTTGGCAGATTATAATTAAAACGGTCGTTATGGCTTTAGAGAGAAGCCACTAAGCTGCACGTTTCAGCTGAAGCGGGGGGGTGCGGTATGCTCCGGTTGAGGGGACGTCGCAGAGAGGTCCCGCCGCGGCTCTGCTCCTTCACCTGACCCACGCGGTGCCGGCTGCGCTGGGCTCTCTCTAGCGTTCGCGTTTCTCATCAGCAAGTGACAGAGTTCTGGTTGCTAACCAGTCCAATCCCAGAGGCAGAATAAAAAGTCCTTGTTAAAGACCTAGAAAAAATTCATGTTTCTATCAAAATCAAATCCAAACACGTGCAAACACTGTTCCTGGTTCGGTGCGTGCCGTTCAGGTTCCACCCCCGGTGCGCTGGAATTTGCTTTCCCTGCAGAGTGATTTCATCCTCGTCCAGTCTCCACCTTTCTGCCTTCCCAGGAGTCTTGACAAGCTATCCCTCCATTTTTGTCTTCAGCATTTTCCCGTGCACATCCTTCCTGCCCTTCCCTCTTCCGCTGTCACACCCTGTTCCTCTACAGCTATTTTCGGAAAGCAAAGACGTCCCGTGTTTTCAAGCCTCTCTTGCCTTCGCTTCCTGGTTTAGGAGAAGACTCTTCCACCAGTCCCCCGTACGGGCAGCTCTCGGACTCGGGGTGATGGCCAGAGCACTCCACAGCAGGGATGAAGCCGCTGTCCCACATCCCGGTCCCACACAGCTTGCAGAGGTCATGCAGGCTGCAGGGGATGCGGGGCAGGAGGTGGAACTGGTACAGCAGGCTCCTCGCCTAGAGGGAGAGAGACACGGTCATTCACTCCTTACCACAGCATGAAAGGGAGAGCAGGGGTGGCCTGGGACCCCCTGCCCCCTCCTCTTTGCTACCGTACAAAGCGTCAGCAAAGGATCATCTCCCTGAACACAAACCCGATGTGAGATGAGGGCCCGGGACACTGCCCGCCCGCAGGAGCCACGCAGGCAGCAGCACGTCCCACGGCCGCAGTCGCTCCCAGCCCCAGTAGGGCCGGGGACCGCGGCACCAGGGCACAGAGCCCTGTCTGCTGCTGCCCCTCAGGATGTGCAAGGCTAATCCCCACCTTACCGACACCTCTGAAGCGCTCTACAACCACCTCTTACTTCTGCAGAACTTGTTTCCAGGCAAACAGCAGCATCCTACCCTCCCAGGCTCCCGATAAGCAGGAGATGCGGAGGATGAAGCATCAGTCCCTGATTTTCTCAAGGCTCTGACTCATCTCTCGGACCTGACACAGCCCACGGGCATTTACCTTCCTGAGCACAAGCTCTCCGTTCATGTGCATAGCCAGGTTGCTGAAATGCAGCAGCATCTGGTCAGCAGCCAGCTGCTGTTCAATAACATCATCCCCATAAATCACCACGATGGCCACACAGATGAAGAGGTGGAAATAGTCAGTCTGCAATGAGAAAACAGGGGCTGGGGTACAGCAGGTGGAGGCAGGGGTCTGACTTAACCTCCCCAGCCTCCACAAGCGTGTCCTCAGTGGAGATTTTGTGCTCCTTCCATCCAGTTTTGCCTAGCGATACTCGGGAAGGGAGTTACTGGAGGATTCTGAATCGCAGCTGAGCCGAAGTGTCTTGCCGTCACAGCACAGCAGCCAGGTTTGGAGCACAGCTTTCAAAGCAGACTAGTGATTTTTGGGAAGACACTTTCCAGCTGTGTGAGGGAAGTCTGAACTTCAGAAGTGGATGTTCAGCATTCCCTGAAAAACCTCCTTCTGAAGCCCAGACACCCTCAAGTAGGAGAGGCGAGTGTCTATCCTCCTGCTCCACGGACAAACTTCTTGGACAGTTACAGACCCTCCGTAACACCCACTTATTTTGGCTACTGTGCTACTGAGAGCCTTTAAGGAAATGCTGCAACACTGGCCAAGACGGTGAGGGTTCAGCAAAGGACACGTTGCTGCCCACCTCCACCTCACCTGATAGTGAGCCCAGCACGCTTCCCACATGCGCAAAGCCTCGGCGTCTGGAAACTCCCGTTTGAAACAGAGGAGGATCCAACGGTGACAGAAAAGCATCTGCAGGCCATCCTCTCCCAAGGAAGAAAGGTGCTGGTAGAAGCGTGGGTGCATGAGCCGTAGCAGCTCTCGCAGGTACATCTGGAAAAGATGCTCCGAGCTGAGCCACGCGCACAAGGACTCGCGCCGCCCTCACCCTCCATCCCGGGGATCCCCGGAGCTGGCCACAGGTCTCTTCTCCAGCCCAAAGCTCCAGGTTTATGTTCTGTTTATTATAGCACAGCCAGGAGCACGCTTGGATCTGTCATTAAAGGCCAGAGCTGATAAGCCCTGATGGGTATTTCACAAGGAAGGACGGGGTTGAAAAGAAGATCCCACCACAGCTATATTGTGAAAAGAAAGAAGGGGAAAGAAAGGAAGAAAGAAGGGCTGAGGAAAGCGGCCGGAGCCTTAAAAACTAGGGAAAAGAAAGGACATCGCTCTCCTTGGCAATACTTCATCAGAGGCCGAGCTATAGGGAAGTGATTTTGGAAAGCCTGACTATACAGGCACATTACAGTGCATAAACCTGACCAGCAACCAACTGCGCCTCACCAGCAGCCTCCCACGGGGGTTCCACCACAAGTTTACCACTGGGAACTGCTGCCGTCGTCACCCGGACAGGATTGTTCAGGATTAGAAGGGATTTTTCAGGATCTTAACCAGAAAACAACTCGCATTCATGTTAAAACCTGAAAAATTCCCATTTTTAAACAGGTCCGCCTTATTTTAAGAAACTCTGTCAGAGATATAAGGCTTTTCATTTGGAGATAATTTAAAAAATTGATTAAAAATATTAAGACCTTAAAAAAAACACAAAGAAGAGGGCTGCAGCTCAATCACCTCTGCTGCCTCCTGCGCACCAAGTGCCCCAGAATCAGGACAAAAACGCATCGGTGAGTCTCCACTGCCTGCGGGGGAAGTGCAAAGACAAAGCAAGCAGCATCCGAAACACGCTCGATCAGAAAAGATTCCTTGGAAAGGAGCCCTTTAGCACAGCCATGGCAGCTTCGCTCTGGCAGTTTATTGGCTGTAGGTGACTCGGGAGTGCCCAAATCACCCAGGATCAGTTTGATCCATCGGTGTTTTTGTGGCTTTGGAGCGGGATCTGGCATGCTGGAACCCACCGGCCCAGGTACCTGCATTCTTCTACGTGACTGGGGAGAGGGGAAGCTAAAGCAAGGGCTAAAGGGAGCTCAGCATTCAGCCTCACCAGCTGCTTCTCCATATCCTCATCCCGGGGCGAGCTGATGAAAATCGTGTTCTGCATCAGTCCTACAAAGCACCAGAAAGTGTCCGACTCATCTAGGATCTCGGCCAGGAGTGGGGCAACCAGGTCGGACATCCCCTGGGAGTATCCAATTGTTGGGTTAAATACTGCATAGTTTAGCAGGATTCTCCTGGAGAAGGGATGCAAACGGAGAGGTGAGACACGGAGAGGGACGTCACAGCTGAGCGCAGTGCCCTTTCCCTTCTACCCCAACTCCCACCGAGCAGGCCAAGCGCAGAAGGGCAACAGGTCACTCCTGCCACCTAAACATCAACTGGCAACTGAACCCGGAGGCTTGGGAACCTTGGAGCGCCCGTGCGGCATGCTGCATCCCACAGAATCACTTTCCCTAAAAAGAACTGTATCTGGAAACATAACAAAGACACACTGACACTATACACCTAGCTGCAACTCTCCTTCTTTTTCTGACAGCATTTTGCATCTAGAGAGGCTCCCAGATGGGCAACAAGAACTGTGAACAGCACACGGCAGCCTAGGACGATGGATTTGAACGGAGCTCCTGAGGGTTTCCCAAGCGCAGCACAGCCCGCGGGGAGCAGTGCAGTCGGAACAAGCGACGCAGCTCGTCCCGGGTACAGAGAGACACGACCCTCCTGTAAGGAGCTTTAACACGTACAGCTAAACCCTGCTGCAAACATCGCTGCGGCGAATTAGACTCCAGGTTGTGCCCTGTGGCCCTCCCACAGCCCCAGAAGGCTCATCCCTCCTGTACGCCTATGCAGGGAAGGGGATGGGAGCAGGGTTGTGTCAAGAAGTAAATGGCTAAAGCAGCAGTGAAAGCACCAGTGCTTGTTTCTCCATCACTTGGTACCGGTCGCCGTGTGCACCTCAGTATTCCCAAGGCAGTGACCTAGGCAGCCCGGACCGGGAGCGCTTACTGAGTTTTCCATACACAGTAGGACACGCTGTTTGGGACACTAGAACGAGACACTTCACCTCATGGTTTCCACGTTTGGGTTGTCCTCCCCTCGAAAGAACTGGTTGCTGCGTACCGGTCACCGTGCGCACCTCAGCATTCCCAAGGCAGCGACCTAGGCAGCCCGGACCGGGAGTGCTTACCGAGTTTTCTATACCCTCAGTAGGACACGCTGTTTGGGACACTAGAACGAGACACTTCACCTCATGGTTTCCACGTTTGGGTTGTCCTCCCCTCGAAAGAACTGGTTGCTGCGGTCAGTCCTCACGACGTCTTTGTCTACCGTGAACTGTACGTTACGCCAAAACTCCTTCTGTTCATCTGGCGTCATGGAAAGCCTGAAAATTGAGCAGCAACAGGACCATGTTGCCAAGAGAGGAATACGATCGCCACAAGGATCAGAAAGTCTTATTTCAGCTTTAGTTTTCTGAGAAAAAATACCCCTGTCCAGAGTTCTCTCATCACCTGAAAAACAGACAAGCAGGTCTGTCCCCAACAGCAGATTTTCTGTCCAAGTGCGTTACCAGGAGCTTCCTGGGTTATAAATGGGAAGACACGATGTGTTTTCTGCGACAAACCCCGCTTGAGAAGCAGCCGGACTCTGTTCTGCACTGCTCCTTGCGGGTGGCGCACCAGAACCCTCCTCTCTGTTGTGATTGTCTCCTAATTAACCATACTGCTGCCCCTCTCCAGCGTAGATGAGCCTCCAACGTACAGTTCTTGCAGTAATAACTTCCCCAAATCAGATATCCCTTCTTCTTCCCTGCTTTCACATCCAAATATATTTATAAGGATAAATTCAGTAGGATGTCGACCGGTTGGAGCGAGTCCAGAGGGGGCCATGGAGATGCTCCGAGGGCTGGAGCCCCTCTGCCATGGGGACAGGCTGGGAGAGTTGGGGGGTTCAGCCTGGAGAAGGGAAGCTCCGGGGAGACCTTATTGCAGCCTTCCAGTGCCTGAAGGGGCTACAAGGAAGCTTGGGGGGACTTTTCCCAAGGGCAGGGAGTGACAGGACAAGGGGCAATGGGTTTAAATAGAAAGTGGGGAGGTTTAGATTGGATATCAGGAAGAAATTCTTCCCGCAGAGGGTGGGGAGCACTGGGACAGGTTGCCCAGAGAAGCTGTGGATGCCCCATCCATGGGAGTGTCCAAGGCCAGGCTGGATGAGGCTTGGAGCAACCTGGGCTATGGAAGGTGTCCCTGCCCGTGGCAGGGGGGTTGGAACTAGATGATCTTTAAGGTCCCTTCCGACCCAAACCAGTCTGTGATTCTATAAGGAAACAGAAGATCGCATTTTCACCGTCCGTGTTCTAAACCAAGCACACCAAGCTTGCAGCCTTGGCTATGGGAGAAGCTTCCCTACATGGCACTGATGAGCCCGTTTCCAGACCCCAAGTGAGATAATACTTGAGCTACACAGCATCAGCTCCAGGGTCTCCCGAGGTCAGTGCCTGATACACCTCCTCTACCATCCCTCTCCCTCCCGAATGCGACAGTCCGTGCGACACCGGCGGCGTTACTGCGACCCGGGGAGAGATGAGCAGGAGGGGATGAAGCTAGCTGGTTACCTTTTCTCCTGGATCTCAAAGTACTCTTTCCTCTTCCGCACCCTCAGTGCCTCCC